ACATGACCAACTGACACAGCATGTCGGCACATGCCCCCATAGACACCCATACAAAGTATGAGCCGAGGCTGAGGCAGCTCATCAACTTTAACGGCTCGCCATTCGAAAAACGGTTGAGAAACGCCAAATCCCTTCAGAACTTTTGTACATCAAGGCCTTCTCTGTCTCCTGTGCCATTTTCACGCTGGTACGATTTACGGTGTCAGACAAGATAATTTTTTCCCAAAAGAAGTGAACTTCCTGTTGGAGATAGGTCAGGGGTGTCAGCGCGAGATTTGTGGGTCTCATTGAGACGAACGTTTTGGTGTTGGTTTGATCTCTGTACGACATTCCTACTGGACTCTAAGGCCGTTTTAGTGTGTTTTTCTGTAACTAGGTGGCGCTAGAGAGCATTTTTGCAGGGGTCCTTGCCCTAACCCTAACCCTTCGGGCAAGGACCCCTGCAAAAATGTTCTCCTGCTTGCTTTGCAAGTAGGGGTCCTCGGACCCTAATAATAATCTCCCTGAAAGTGACATCTCTAAAGGAGACGCCTGGAGGTCAGTTTAGTGAGATGTCCAGTCTACTTTTGTATTTCTGTCAGACTCTCAAACCCCCTTTCACACTGGTCTTCATTTCACAACACTCCTCTCTTGTCACTTCTTTTGGAAAACCATCACAGTACAAAGGCCACCAAGAAATGAACATGTAGAGCACAGTCTCCTCTCTCTGTGTGTTACACGTATTTTCATTCAGTCGTTCTTCATCCGTCTTCATAGCCTTTCTTTGCCTCGAACTTTAGGTGATCAAGCAATTTCTGAGTGAAGAATCCAAGTCACAAGTGCAACACCTGCCACTTCATGTGATCTGTCTTGTTCTCTTAAAACATAATGCATGGCCCTTCTCAGGCTTCACTAGCCATGTTTCCATAACATATCTTTACGTGTATTTTTAGGGTCCTTGCCCTGCGGGCAATTGTTCCCGCTTCGTTTCTTTCGTCTTATTATTCGCTTGACGCACGCAAAACCCTTAATTTGACCCCCTAAACACGCTCAAAAACTCACCAAAATTGGCACGCACGTCCGAATTGGCAAAAAATTTGATAAAATGAAAAAAAAAGAACAAAAATGCTCTCTAGCGCCACCTAGTTACAGAAAAACACACTAAAATGGCCCTAGCGCCCAGTAGGAATGTCGTACAGAGATCAAACCAACATCAAAATGTTCGTCTCAATGAGACCCACAAATCCCGCGCTGACACCCCTGACCTATCTCCAACAGGAAGTCCACAATTTGCCTTTCAAAGTAAGAAAATGCGCGAAAACTTCTTTTGGGAAAAAATTATCTTGTCTGACACCGTAAATCGCACCAACTTGAAAATCGCACAGGAGACAGAGAAGGCCTTGATGTACAAAAGTTCTGAAGGGATTTGGCGTTTCTCAACCGGTTTTCGAATGGCGAGCCGTTAAAGTTGATGAGCTGCCTCAGCCTCGGCTCATACTTTGTATGGGTGTCTATGGGGGCATGTGCCGACATGCTGTGTCAGTTGGTCATCTACACAAAAAACT